TCTGTCTGTCCGTCTGTCCCTCTGTCTGTCTGTCAGTCTGTCCCACTTGGTTTTCCGCACTTTTTTTTCTAAACGCTTACAGATATTAAGCTGAGTTTTGGTATGTGAGTGTATCTTGATGAGTCACAGATCAAGTTTGCATTTCGTTCCGCTTCATTGATTTTTGACGGAATTATGGCATTTTCAATTTTTAGCGGGAACCAGATTACACTTGCCGGTAGGGGACTAGTATTGCTAATGCAATACTCTCAGAATGCTTGTTCTAATAGGGTCCAATAATAGTCTTTGCATTGTATTTTTGAAATAGGACATTTTTTATTATCTTTAGAAAGAGTTAATGTATCTCTATTTAAATTAGGTTTTCGCTGTTCTCTTAAAATAATCTTTTCCATTCATATGGTAATGCCATTAGTTAGACATGAAATCCAAAAAAAAAAAAAAGACGTTTATTTCATTCAGATTATCTAATTCTTCTTGACTAAAAAAGTCTTTCTTTTCGCCAATATTGTCACTTACATGAACTATCCCACATTTGTACCATTTTCCTTTAAAACTAATGATTTGTTTTTCTTGATTTTATCATTAAATAAACCATATAATGCATCCACTTAAAATACACACTAAATAAAAGGTGGATTCAAGTGTCACTGACATCTAACTCGACCGTGCAGGCAGTTTCTAATGTAATCCAGTGTTCAAGCCTTTTGGATGGGGTTCGATTTAAAGTGGCTGCTGGCTTGGTGTTTCCTTAACCAACACCGAGACAGCTATCTACAGATAGTAATGGTGAAGATGAGGATCCACAAGTCCATGAACGGGATACCTTGGTCTAATCTACTTCTAGCAAGCTCAATTGTGTTCAGTAGCCTCAATGCATCTAAATGTCTTAAATTTCTCCAACACCTGGAAGTGCGAGCCATTTTTCATTAAATTTCAACATGATTCAATCAGCCTACGTAGTACCAGCAGTCCTTTTCACCTAGATTTGGATGAAGCTGAGCAGTGCTTGATATGTATTGGGAAAGGATTCTTATTCTAAATGATGATGAGAGATGCGATTCTCCCGGAGACCTTTTTACAAAAAAAATTTACGATAAACTTCTATCGTAAGAGAAATCTTTTGAGTTTATTTCTTTTCACAAAAAGTCTTACGAGATTCTTACGTGTTAAATTTGTTGTAATAACTTTACGAGAGCCTTAACCCTCACATAAGTATTTTAGAACCGATTCTATGGTAAACCGCAAAAACTAAAATACACGTTTAAATGAATTTTGTAAGCAACCTAAATTAGCATTTAATGTTTTTTCACAGTTATTGTCGACATAGTAAATGGATATACTATTAAATATTTACGATGGCAATTTCACTTAAGATTTTTGTATGACCTACTTTTAAGTTAGACTTGTGTTTGTGACGTCAGATTTCAAACCTCCTTGCTTCACAATCGATTGCATTCGATATTTGTTGTCAATTATGTTTCTTTTGCTGACAAGTGTTGAAAACTTATCTTTGTTTTTATTTTCATCCTCTTTCTTAAGGATTATAAGGCATATTGACATCGTTGCTAGAATTCTATTGTAAATAACATCTTAAGTTTAAAATATTACGAATGCGTTCGTTGAAAGCACTTACTTAAAATTGTTTGTGAAAAAGGCTACTGGTTTCTCAGCCAAGTTCGGATGGTACACCGTAATGGACTCAGAGAATGGACTTGTAATTATTTCAGGTACCTACTTGGTATATAAATTGTTCCTACTGGGGTTAACATGAATAGCTAGGGAAATATCTGTTTTATATCGGGTTTTAAAAGATTTAGGTTGTGTAATTTCTCTATGAAATATGTGGAGATAATGAACAGTATTCGAGCTCAAAAGTCAATTAAACACTACAAAATAGGAGCGGAGCAAGCACGGATCTCTAAGACATCAGAGGTGGGATCAGGTGCCATGGAGGAGTGAGCATCCCCTGCCGACCGGTCACACCGCCGTGTGCTCATATATAATATGATAACAATGAATTATAACTTGAATGCCAATAAAAAGTAAGTTAAAAAAAACTTCACTGAATTAAGGTAAATAAAATAAATGACAATTTTGTAGATATAGAAGTTTTGTGTAAGCTTTCCTCACTTATTCATACACTTGTACAGTCATTAATTTAATGCTCTTTTTCATAATTTAAAAAGTAACGAGGTTGCTGGTTCAACTCCTGTGGAGTTAGAGGGCTCGAAGCCAGGACTGGGAAGAATGGAAGAGGCGGGCATCAATGTCCAGGTCCTTGTTAGAGACAGGCATGGGGTGGTAAAAAAGTACATGATGACTGAGCATGCAGACAAGAAACATTACTTTGATGTATGGTATTTTATGTAATTATCATTATCATGTAAAAAAAAGTTCCGAGATGAAAAAAGGATAAGTTTTATTTGAAAAATATTCATAATATTGATGAAAAGGTTGAGATGTAAATATTTGTATTAGTAACATCATTATAAGTTGTCTTGAAAATTAAAATGGAAAACACTATTTTCAATTTTTAAAAGATTGATATGAAATACCTTTTAAATAATTTATTAATTAAATATTTATACAGGTGTTTCAAAGAAACTGGAATGCAAGCGAGACTGTGGGGACATCTGAATCTGGGTGAAGAGTTCAGTCAACCACTGTTACTGAATGTCAGCCTCCAAGAAGAGTAATGGGGGGAAAGAAAGAACAGAAATGGTCATCTTTGGTTGAACATACATGACAACTGTCAACGTGATCTGTTGAATAAGTACAGACAATTGCTTATAGAGAAGGTAATTTTGAATGTAATATTTGAATAATGATAAAAATAATTTTATGATGTAATATAATGAACTGAAGTTGTCTTATGTTCAATGTCCATGGCCAACCAAGAATGATTATTGAAATATTACATGACTTCTGGCTAACATTTTATCTATGCAATTTTAAATGTTCAAGAGCCCACAAGCTTTTCGAGAAAGTAGTCAAAAGCAAGTTCCTCATGAATGTCATTGGAAACTTATCTCCCCTGCACCAGACATATGACCATGAGGGTGTTTCAAAGTGAACAGCCTTGAACCCAAGATGCCACACTTTTTTTCTACCCTGCAATGCTGGCTAGGTAATTTTATAAAATTTCATACAGTATTTGAGAATTTAGCATTTTATTTCATACATTTCCGATGCACTAAATTCATTAAATAGTAATCAACATATCTTTTTATTCTGTACAGACTGAATGTGACAGTTCTACATTTGGATGAGAATGGACAGCGTCCTCAGGCTGTGACCAGAGCTGAAGAGTTACAGTGGCAGCTTCTGATATATATCTTTTGTTTCTCAGAAAAAGAAATATAAACGTCTCATATTAATTCTTTTATTCATAAGTGCTGGACGTAAGCACATACAAATCATCAAATATCAATTATATGCATAAGTTGATCAAGACAATTTATGTTTTGATTTTTAAGATAATTATGAAGAAAAAGAAGGATAACTCTTATTAATGACAAGAATGACCAAAACCATGAAAATGTTCACGGTGACATTTCTTTGTGAAAAACAAAAGTTTTAATGTCTACCCTTCTATCTGATGAGATGTAGAACGTAAACAAAATGTATTGTCAAACATACCAATGTGTTACACACCGAAAATAATGAATAAACACTTAGAGCAGCAGAATGTGAGTAAAATTTAAATATTGCTGAACCAATTGAAAACGGCCGGATTCCTTTTCTATGTTTTTCTTAATGCATTTGTTTTAGAGCGAGTTTCAATTCCTAAGCAAATAATGTTTAAACTGCTAAAAATCATGTTTAAATGCTAAATATAATGTTCAGCAAAAAAAATAGATCCATTAATTTAATTAGAAAATGTCTCTTTTCTTCATTTTCTACTGCAATATGACAAAGATATTCAAAAGCATTGTGTGTTTACATAAATGCCTTCACTGTGCAGTTTAATACAATATTGAATAATACGCAACAAAAACCAAACAAACGATTAATTCTCAAAACATATTCAGAAAAAAAAGATTTAGGCAAAAAAAATTTTTATAGCTAAAAGAGCACAATTAAAGGTATCGCCAAAATAAAAATTCAATCGCACAGTGAGAGTTGTAGCATCTCTCACGGTTTTTTTTCCTCAAATTTACCCCCCCCCCCTTTCCGAGTAATTGAAAAATCATTCAGATGTAACTTGATATTAAAATCTTTATCTACTTGAAAAAGTTATTCCTATTTCAGGAATGTTTTGTTGCAGCGGTTGAGAACTCATTTTTGATCGCAAGTTTAAAAAAAGTAGATGTATAGAGACAAAGATTAATATAATAAAGTAATTTGTATATATATACCTTTTCACTCCAAAACGACGTGGGTGGATTTGATAAAAGTATGACTACTCACAACCAGCTTTAAAGTAAGATATTTACACAGTTCTAACAAAAAAGCAAATTTGAATTAATACTAGGCATCAAAATTTTGTAATTATCAAATTCTAAACAATACTATACACCAATCTTGTAAAATATCTACATGTATCATATGCTTTAGGTAAAATTGTAAGCAAATAGATATGAACATCATCCAAACTTCAAATAATACAAACTCTGTTATTGCACAATTATGATAATGATTTCTGATAATACTTAATTTTATTTTTAAAACATATACTACATTTCATGTATGATGGAAAATATAGATAGCTTATCAGATCGCAGGTAAATGACTTCCGTATACCGCATTAAGTAAAGTGAAATACTTGTACTACAATTTACATTGCAAAATTCTTTTATTTCGTACTCGATTTTTCCCAATGATCAATAGAATTATCCGTATCAAACAGAGTAGAATATCCACATATAGATGTGGATAACACCACAAAACTTATCACGTATTTCCAACTCTGATAACTCTGTTTTAGCAAATATCACAACTAGCTAGTAAAGGAAAAGGACACAAGTATGTTTGTTATACATTCTAGAGTCAATGTGAATTCAGATGTCAAAAATGAAGACCTCGCTACTTTCGTTGACACGGATTCCAACAGATCCGTCTAGAAAGAAATGAATTCTGGGATCGTGAAGGCAGATGAACTTTCCTGGACGCACATCTCCCCAGGTAAAATATGGATATGGACTATCGTAATCAAGGTAAAATCCAACATATATTTCAGCATTATTTCCATCCTAAAATATATCGATCGAATATATAAGATTAAAAATATTAATTACCAACTTTGTTTAAGTTTAAAGTTTTTTTCCCCAAAAATTTAAATGATTTTTGTCAAAGTTAATTTTTTTTATATTTCCCATGCAAAATCGCACTTACTTGGATGTATACACAATGGCGCCCTCTATAGTGGTGATACCTAGAAATAAATCCCACGAAGGACACTCTTGCATTACCAAAACTCAAAGGAAACTCATGGGGTATTTCTTCAATATCCTCAATGATGTACTGCATGGGGAACTTTCGCTCCACGTAAAGTTTTGCTTGTCTTCTTAGGTCTTTTGTTGTTGATTTTCGCATAGAAAGATCGGCAGAATCTGTTCTAAACATTGTTGATGGTCCAAACATCATGTGGTGTCCATTATCAAAAGCTGTAAAACTATTAGAGCTTTGGATAGCTTGAGAAGAGGTTCTGTCTGATTTTGACTTTTTCAGCTGTTCTTTAAATCCATCGGTCTTTATCACGTCAACTATGTCCTTATTCTTTTTGCATGTGGTCTTATGGTCGGGCCAGTGTTGTCTTTGACATGATTTCGAACAATAATCGACAGCCAGGCAACGTCCACACTTCTTGAGTTTTCCTATAGTTCCACAAAACGCACATAATGCATTCGAAGCATGGTCAGTCGAATCGCTCAATGACTGTTTACTAAGGTCATCAAAAGCGGAATCACTTTCTTCATCACTTATCACTGTCTCTCCGGCATTCTTCAGCTCATTACACTTTGATTTGTGGTTCGTTATCCAGTCCCTTTTCTGACACTCTCTGCTGCAGTAGTACACAAGGAGGCATCGTCCACACTTCTGCATTCCCTTCCTGTGAATTCCACAGTTTTTGCATCTGTTTTCCATTTTATCTGACAAAAATTTGTTCATGAACGTTTAACATGTTTTATTAAGAACATCTTTGATTAATCAAGTCAAAGCTCTGAATGCTTTAACTTTGACTCTTCAAATTTTTACCCAAGTTTAAGTTTAATTCATTATATCCATGTAAAGGTTTAAGAATTTATCAAATGAACAAAATAGTCCTTGAGCATGCTTAAACCCAGGCCTGGAGTATAAAAGGAAATGGGAGGAGCTTAAATTTGAAAATCACATATTATCCTACATGTTCAGCTGAGCAGAGATGTTTTGAAAAGTAATCACATCTTAATATGTTGTACTGGCTCAAAAATTGGCACAGTAGTACATTTCCTTTTCAGTTATTCCAGTATGTAAAAATATTCATTGATTGATTATTTTATATGCCAAAATATACATCAAAACATCTGAAGTGAACAGATTTCAAATTTACCTCTGCTCTATATATGGCAAGTTGACCCCTGGTCATATTGAATTGTAATGAACAAAGCAGAGATGTAAATAAACAGAGCCATGTGGATTCATAAACAAGTTTATTAGCCACTTACTGCATTGAAATTCCTTGCTGAATTGAATAAATCCATATACACAATCAATATTCAAAACAAAAATATTATATTTGTCATACTTATTATTGAAAATAAAGGTTTTAATGCACATTAGTTGCATAATATTTAGAGTATTATAACCACTTGTGTCCCATGTATGGCCTTCCTGAAGGATTAGGATATAAATTCCTAACTAAAGATAAGACACATTCAGGCATTATTTCTCTGAGTGTCCACACTATATTCTCACAGTCACCTTGATTAAGTTTTTCAGCCTTCTTAGCAATGTATCGCGGATGATTCCATGCATATCTTCTTGACATCATTGTCCAGAATTTCTTGTATTTGGTTTTCCTGATCGCGGAGTTCCTAACATGAGGTGGTGAACCATTTCCAAACCAACTCTGTCTGTTTGTAGTTACACATGGATGACAAAAACAATACATGCATTCCTGGTCATTCACCTGTGGTGTTTCATCATCATCTCCATGTCCAGGATTACCACCCGATGGTTGCTGCTCCTCATTCTGGCCAGGATTTTCACTTGTGTTGCAGACTATTATCTCCTGGTTTACAGCAGGTCTTATCTCTTCATCGGTATTTCCCTCTGACCAGTTATTAAAAACAACGCAAGAATCAAAATCCCATTCACTGTGTGAAAACAAAGCTTGGACAGGATTGAGTTCAACTTCTGTAAGATTCAAACAAACTTGTCTCCTTGTTTCAGACATAACAAAAAAATAGCAAAAACACGATAACTCCTTCACTGATATGGCTTCCAATGGAATGGTCAAGACAAAGAAAATTGATTGACCACTGAAAAATCTTCCCGCCAAACTTCACAGCATGTACTGTGGAAGAGTTGACTAAGTCAAGGGTATGATAGCATCAAAATGTAGTGCATAATGCTGTCCATAAAGTTTTTTTTTGAAAATGATTTTTAAATATTTTAATTTTTTTGTACTGCTGTTCGATTTTTATTAAAATGTAATGTTCAAATTGTTAATAACATTGTCTAAATCATGTAATGTACCCCCTTACATTACCCTCTATCTAATGAAGTAAACATGTCTATGGTCAGAGATGCAGAGTAATATAAAGGAGGCCACAATTTTGTTTTACCAAGTTGCACATTCTCATAGTTATATAATTAGTAAGTTATAAAAATAAAAGGGCACAAGGCAAAATTAAAGAAAACATTATAAGAAAATTAAATAAGAAACAAATATGATAGCATACAGAAATCATTCTGACTACCCTATGGCACCCCCACTGACCACAGTAGGGCTGGTAATACCACCTGCTGACTTGACAGACAATTTACTTACATATTCACAAAGTCTGTTATTACATGTTAAAGAAGTAAGTAAAGATGGATGAACAAGTACCAAAGAGAATACAAGATGAGAATAGAGAACAACAAGGGAGAAAGAAACGAAGATCTGATGCTGGAGAAGAAATGAAAGTGCGGAATGAATGGTCATACTGCTAAGGTGACATTTGCCTGCAAGGAAAACCACTTGATTTCGGCAGATTCATCACAACATTTGCCAGGTGGAATGTTTCTCGTAAATTTGAGAATGGTGCATTCTGTCTATGCAACAGGATTACGCTACAGTCAATACAAGAGACTGTGTGATACTGGAAATATAGGGGTTATACCAGAGAGTGCATTTGAAAGCCAACATGATCTATACTGTTCTGTTACTAGAGATATGGCTGAGGAATCAGTAACTGAGGCAATCAATGAAGAAGTAGCAACAGAAATTCTAAAATCAGAAGAAAATGAAACCCAGTATAATGGAATAAATATCATGACAGATGCCCGCCATGGTTGGAGAAGAAATGCAGCCCAATCAGATGTTGTTGCATTAGGCCAAACACACCATCGAGTTGTTGGATTGGAGGTTGTAACAAGACAAGACGATCCTGTAAGTCAGAGACATGAAATGAAAGGAGTTGAACTTCTTTACAACCATTTTGATGAGAAGGATGTTTCTGTCAACCTTCAGGGTCATGACAGAAATGCAAGTGTTAACAAATATTTGTCCGAGAATAAGCCTTCTGTAACAAATGCAAATGATACATGGCACGCAAGCAAGAATGTCAGCAAGGAAATGAAGAAAATTGCAAATGGTCCACTGAAATACAGAGGCATCACTTGGCATCCGGATCTTTCAGATAAAGTTGCATCTATTAAAACACATACTTATTATGCCATGAAAAACTGCCAAGGATCATCAAAGAAACTCCGAGAATTTCTGGACAACATAGTTGAACATTATAAAAATAATCATGAAAATTGTTCCACAGAGTCAAGATGTAAATGTGATCCCAACTATGAACCATCCAAACACGTTCTTAAGGATTCAGATGCAGAGAGAATTTTGAGAAATGAAATAAGAAAACTTCAAATTTACAAAACACCAGATGATTATGTCAACTGTATTGACATTATGTTGAATCCTTTAATAACGCTCTTCTTATTTATCACGATAAACGGATTAAATTTGGTGATGAGGAATACAAACGCAGATCTCATATGGCTGTTCTAGACTGGAATGAGAATGTTGATCGCGAGTATACTTCAATAAGTAATTATGAGGATGCTAGACGACCAAGAGCAAGATCTGGACATAAAAACCTTGTGCCTAAAACAAATAAATTTACACTTATCTTGTGGGATAAAATTATTAGTGCATTCTACAAAAAGTGACATTCTGTTTGTGTTGTAACAGTGAAAACTTATTCAAAAAGGTATAATTAATTGTTACAAATACTAGTAACACAATAAAAATATACTTTATCAGATGGTAGCTTTTTTAAATTTGTAATTTTGTATGAGTCATTTATCAGAAAATCTTTTCACTACTATATTTAATTATTTGAAAGCTATTAAATAAAACAAATGTTAACCTTCACACATTCTTAAACTGGTAAATTGTAGAAAGCAATGGTCAACAGATTATAAGATTAGCCATGTGCTTATCAGCTGATAAGGGAAAGTGATGCTAAATATAACCAGCTGCTCTGTGTTATCTTGATAAGCTCCTCCTATAGAAAATGCGGTAGTGACTACCGCTGCCTGGGGAAGAGCAAAGCAGAGCACTTGCACCAAATATACAAAAATTGAAAGAAATGTCAAATTAGAGTTAATACCATAAGCTAAATTGTCAAATTCTGGAAAAAACTACGATTTTAGGTGGAAAATTAACATTTTGACGTAAAATGTGAAGATAAAAAAAATCAATTAATTATTTTTTCTTGTACATGTACTTTTAATTTATTCGAGAACTCAAAGTAAAATTACATCCAAATATAATTGTTTATTTTTATTTACCTTTAAAATGAAAAGTAAAAATATCCTCATAATCTTATATTTGCTTAGATTGATCTTTTGTATGTTGTATAATTTTTCTATTGTAGGATTAAACTTTCTTTTTGAAAATTTTATCGATGTGTAAACTCTTGACATTTTACTCACAAACTAAATGAAAGTGCGAAGCAGTTTTATGTTAAGTTTGTGAGTAAAATGTCAAGAGTTTACACATCGATAAAATTTTCAAAAAGAACGTTTAATTCGTATAATTCCAATTACGAAGTTTTTAAAATTATTTCTCTTTGAAGCCTCCATACAATCCGTTATTTCTGTATACAGCGTAGGATTACTTTATGTCGCGATGTGGAAATGAAACGTAATCGAAATGAACATCGATAAAGTTTAACTTAAATTGTCAAAATATTCAATAAAACAAACTCATAAAAACTCTTCGAATATTGTTCAAATCAACGAATATTGTAAATACAAGTAGACCAGAAGAATTTGTCCTTGACCATGTTGACCATATGGAGAAATGATGTACAGTTTATTCATGAGGTTGCTCCATCGTGATTTACTTCTCATTAATATTCATAAGATCTGCATAAACTCGAAATACTCCATTTCTTTAAATTTTTATATTAAAACCTTCAAAAACAGTTTGTTTTGTTTTCCTTAAGCCTCCGTCATAGTTAATGGGCAGAATTTTGGGTTATTAACAGTTGACAACTCATGAAACCATCTTTTTTTTTTTTTTTTTTTTTTTTTTTTTTTTTTTTTTTTTGGTAATAAGTATGTCACACTGATTCAAGAAATTGCCGTTTTCAAATTAAAAAGGCGGTCGTAATTCTTCATGAAATGATAAATCATCTGCATTTTATAAAAAAAGAAAAAATAAAAAAAAAGGCATTCTTCTGTATCTAGTAATCGGCGGAAGAACTCTGTCAACTTGCAATAAGCACTTACATTTAATCACCAAAAATGATAAAGACACCAATTCTGTGCTTTTTCCTTTATTAAAACATTATACTCTCGCTTCGGAATTTCAAATCAAAAAGGCGGTCGCAACTTTCACTTTGGCATCAACAATATTGTCATTTCCGGTAGAAGATATTAAGAAA